CACACTGTGGGAAGTTGGCATCCTTATGAGGACAAAAATCAGGTCTCCAAAAGGTAAACTGTGACCTTTTAGAGGTGATTTGGTTTAAGGTTAGGGTGGTGTTAGGGTTAGGCAAGTAATGGTTATGGTTAAGGTTAGGTTATGTCTTCAGGAAATTAATGTACTCTAAGTCAGTGTAATGCCCCCTGAAGTGATTGAAAGACAACATGTATGTACAAATGCATATATATGTATGTACATGAGTGTGTAGTGTTCTATACAAATCCTGTGGATGTCCTGCAGGAGTTAGTCCTGGCCTTATGGTAAATAATGCCCTGTTAACATCCAGGATTGTGTACATTTTATGTGTGATTTCTATATTTTATACCTCATCTTTGTGAACATTTGATATCCCTGCCTGCATTTGCCACAAAGTGAAGCATTTGACATACACATTAGCATTTTAGTCTGATGCTGCCATGTAGAGTGATGTGTGAGCAGGTGCATTAGGGGTTCGGTGTCAGACACGAGGACAATGAACCCCTTTGACAGGGTGTGAGGTTATGGCTGGGACACATCGGCACTCAACGTGGTTAAATAATCCCTGCTACAACCAGGTGCCTCTACTGGCTAGTATACTGTACAACTTTACAACTGAAGTATCAGTTGTTCTTTTAGTAGCTGTATGTGAAATACAAATACCACTACTACTATGAAACATAATCCAGTTTTTAAATCTTCATTTAATTTCATTATCTCAATTTAAAGGAAATATCTGACATTTTGTGAAATATCCGTGGAGCGTCTCGGGTTAGTAAGTTAAAAGAAGATCAGTATCATGCTCATATCTGTCTGTTAAATATACATTTACAACCTTGTAGTTTAGAATAGAAGCAGGTCCACTTGGCTCTGTCTAATATTAACACCTACCAGTGATGTGAAATTTTACTGGAGGAAAAATAAACACACATATGTATTAAACACGCATATGTATACAAGGATCAGCAGCAGCATTTGTCATGATACAAACAAGAGCTACAATGCCGTATCTCGAGAAACACAAAATTTACGATCTTACGGTACATGCAATGCTCTCCCCCCCCCCACAGAGAATCTGCAATTCCAAGAGGTAGACTAGTGAGAAGTATGTCACTGGTACCAAGCCAGGATAAGGCATTACTAGCTTTAAATCCTTCAGCAATGATCAAAACCGGACTTAATGCACTCACCAGGAGAGACTGGTACATCCCACAACACATAGCCCTTCACACACACAAATCCATGCTTTGATGGCAATAACTTGAACAATAACAACAGTGAGCTCTGTGGCCTGGCTCACAGACCAGATAGCAGACAGCAGTAGAGTATACAGTACCATGTGGCCAGGTATGCTGCTGTTTTCTGTTCTCACACTGTTTTAATCTATTTTATTTTTTTCCATTTTTAACAACTGTAGTCAGTCATGTAACTACAAATACGGCACATACGTTATTTTCATCCTACACTGATGGTCTTACTGTATTTGTAGTGTTTGTGTGTATAATGCCCTTGAACTACTAAAAAATTGTGTTGTTTTATATTCTACATTTCTGTTTTAATGATAAATTCAAATTCAGCATTTTCTCCTAGGAACACATTTGCTTGGGGGAAGCTAAACGGTGAATTGGAAGTGAAAATATGTCTGTTTTTATATATATAGACATACATATATATATAGTCTGCATGTCTTAGATGCAGGATTACTAGAGTTTTTTTCAAATCTTAAATTCTCACATTTTAGTTTTACAAAATTTGTAATACATAGGTATAAAAACATGAATATTTAAAGTACATTTGTTTGTAAGAGTTTCATTTATATTGGTTTCTTCCATTAGTCTGTTTATGCACACACACTATGTTTATACACGCACTATGTACCCTGTGTTTTTAACCATGTGTGTGTGTATGTGTGTGTGTGTGTGTGTGTGAGAGAGAGAGATTTTCTGTATTAATTTGCTCATGCTTGTGTACTACATGCCTCCACATGTCTCATAATCCAGGAGACTGGCACGCATCATAATGTTGGGAGCCGGGGAATTCAGAGCCATTCTGCCATATTCATCAGTCTAAGGAAAGAGACAGAAAGAACTTATGTGACTGTGTGTGTGCATATTATAAAAAATAAAGAAAGATTTTGACTATGCACAAGGAACGACTGCCTCACTGCTGTGGAGAAGATTCAAAGGAACAATTTTACACCAGCTTATGAGCAAGGGAGTGAACAGAGGGATGCACACTACCCAGAGACTGCCAGATGTTGCACAAGGGAACCCATCAGCAGCAAGAGTGACCAAGGGTGGAATGAGTTAAATTGGCTCTGAAAAATTGGTTCCTCGCATACGAGCAGATGAAGGAAATACTGAGGAAATGGAGTGTTTTATGAAAAATGGTTGCCAATTTAATTCAGTGTCTTTTTCATTACCTGCAGCTCTGTTTGTCTGCCTGTTTGTACAACATCTCAAAAACTAGACAGCAGATTTCAATCACAGTTGACGGAAAGTTTCGCCATGGGCCAAGGAATGATTGGTTTAGCATGGATCCCAAATCCGACTTTTAAAGTATTTCTTAACATTGCAGCATTTGTGCATCAATCCTCTACTCACATTACTATTTAAACAGGTGTTCAAATGCAGTGGTTAAACATTCTTAACATATTTATGTTACTGAAATAATAATACATTCAGTACAGAATAATGTGTAGACTTGGTAGAGCTGCAGTATGTGCTCTGAGTGCTTTCTAGTTTTTCACCATAACTGCAGAGTACTGCTGAACAGCATGGAGGCAGTGCTTCTCTGCTTTATACAATATATACTGACAAGAGATATGTTCAGTTTAGAGCCACATAAAGCATACATTGCTACTATAGCACACTAGCGTATCTTTATTTATGAAACTAAACTAAGTCATCACAGTATAGATTCAGGGACAGGCCCTTATCAGTTGCCGCATTTTAAATTTCCTCTGCAAAGGCTTGAAAAACACAACATGGCTCCTAAAGCTTGATTTATGGTTCTGTGTTGAATCTATGCCAAAGATACATTGTAGGTAATCTGTAGCCTTGTACCCTATGCCTTAGCCTGATGTGCACCTCTCCAGAAATGTACTGTAAGTACATCACAGACCGCAACAGCTGTGATTGGTTGCATTGCATTTCCTCATTCATGTCTCCCTTTGGCTGGACACTGTCTGCATTGCAGTGCTTTCAGTAAAAGTAACTGCTGCTCAGTATCTATTAGTTTTAACTCCAACATGAGCCTCTTGGTTTCAGTCACCATTGTTAGTAAGTGGCAAAGAAACGCAACGAAAACTCCACTGCCAGTTGATGTTTTGGTGATGTATTTGCAGAGTGCTGCAGACACACCAATGCCTAAGTACAGTATAAATGCTCAGAGTGATGTCCATTCCATAGTCTATGGCATAGGCTCTACGTAAATTCAACACAGAACCAAAAGTCAAGCTTAAGGCATTGCCTGAAAAAGAAAGAACCCAATTCATGAGACTTCATGAATATGGGAATGGGCACCAGAGCATCAGTGTGATGCTAAACATTAGCCGAAACAGACTTGCAGCAATGGAGATATAGGAAGAGCCATACTACCAAGAACAGACACCACACACACACACGTGCACACACACACACACACACACACACACAAAGGAAAAAAAGAGTCATTTTCTAATGAGACAGTGATCCCAAACATACTGCAAAAATCACACAAGGGTTTTAAAATGTGAAGACTATGACCTGGTCCAGTTTGGCCACTGACCAAGAAGTCATCCAACCTAATTGACAATATATACAAGCCAGAATTCTGACATTAATGTCAAGGGCAACACACAGTGACAGCGTGTGACAAGTATCAAACCACCCACGCCCATTATTTTCAAAGTAAGTCCACACACTGGCGGCAAACTGCCACATCTGGATATGATATTGCCTTGTTTGCCCAGTGTCAATGCATGTCAAAAGTATGAAATACTGAAATACTCACCCATTTCGGTAGCCCCACGC